AAATTGAGATTCGGGCTGTCGAAGTGGAATGGGTAGTGGGGGTCAAGCAACTTACTCGAGTACCCTACCGTACTGGACTCGAGTATCTGCTGGCACGGGGAGAGTGTGTGCGAGTGTGAGGTTGAGAAATAAAAAAAAATAAAGAATAAAAACGGGAACCCTCATACCGTGCATGGCTGCACTTCCTGCCTACTTGAGTAGTGTGCTGACCAGCGATTACTCGAAGAGGATGTTGCTCACGAGACGGACATGCAGTTGATTGACGACCTTTTCGCCTATCGTCGGGATTCGTTCGACGGAGGGGGACCATGTAGCATCGATGTATCATGACAAGGAAGTAGGCGAAGAAAAAGCCACTGTGCCGGCTTTGATGGGTTCCGCGGACGCGGGGACAGGGGAAAGAAAAAGAGATGGAGAGAGAAAAGAAGGCAAAAGACTACTAGCCTTTTGTTCGTACGAGTACCGGTACTATACATACTTGCCTCCTTGCTTGCTGCCTGCTTGCTAAAGTAAGGATGCCAAGAGGCCCAGTCCAGCCTTAGATGGTGGTTTATAATACTTTCATGTTAAGGCTTGGAACGCGATTTGTTGGACTTTTTCCTGATAACCCCCCCCCCACTCTGCGGGGCAGCCACTGCAGCAAGAAGGACAGAAGAGATTTGAAGCAGTGCCAAGGATTCACCACGACCGCCATCGAGGAAAATGGAATTCCCCATTCGGCGATTCCTTTCAATCGGTTCAGGAAATTCATATATTCCCAGGAACGGCGATCTTTTCGAGAGAAACCGGTGCTTCGAGCCCCCATTCTAACTGTGACAATTTTGTCGAGCCACGTATTTTCTTGATTTCCCCCCCTCTCTCCCTTCGCTGTTAATTTGATTTCCTATTTCTGTTCCTTACCTTCCGCTCCACCACCTAACAAGGATTGTGATAGGTAAGGTACAAGGGTTTAAATTTTTGGACTGGTCAAGACCTCCGAAAAGCGGAAAATCGGAGCTGGTTTAGTTCAAAATCCAATTCAATTCTTCTATCGAAAGCGAATGAATAAAGCTTTGATATGATAAATAACCTGGTTACAGGTATATATACCTGTACGCATGCGGAACCAACGCTTGAGGACGTTAGAGTGGGTACGGTATTCCTGAGGACCTTGTGGCCCTTTGACTGGTGGATAGGGGGCTTTTCCCTTGGTGGGGAAAGTTAACTTGGCTGAAGTGGACGGGTTCGTTCGTGGACGGTGCTTTTGGTTTTCACGAGGTTTTGATCTGCTGTGGCAACCAGCCAATTTCTTCCTCTTTTACAAACCAATAGATACTGCTTCCGTATCCCTCCCTATTCGAGTACCACGCTTTGCCCTGCGAGCAGGAGCGTTGAGGTGCTCATACGTCCTCCCCGCGATGCTCGAGTGGACAGCACTTTACACGCGGCGACTCCGAAGCATGATCTTTCCTTTCTTGCTTTCCTTCTAGTCTAGTGGTGAATGGCAAGTTAAAGGTACGAGTAGAAAAGCGAGAAAGTCATGGAAAAGAAAAATAAAGTAAAATAGAATAAAAAGAAACACCTCATCTTAGTTACCGTACCGGCCGGCAGAGATGCAATGTCACGGGGAACCCTTTAAAGTCTACTGTACCGGTAGGTACTTGTACTGTACTCGAGTACAGTACGGCGGGAAGGCAGGTAGGCGGACAACGAAAAGGACGATCGTGAGATTTAGGAGATCTTTTCGAGCCACGAGGGAAAGGGGTTTTTTTCTTCCAAACAAGTTCTCGGGCCTGTCTCATATTTTTTTTTCCTGTCGCAACAGCAATCAAGCAAAGAGGACAACTGTGATACTGCCACCCGACCAGCTGGCTCACCGAGACACATCACGCCCTCTTTTTCCGGGCGGGAACGATGTTGGCTTTTTCCCTGAGTTTTGCAGGGGAGGGGGGGTTTGTTCCTGATGGAAGAGAGGAGAAAGGGGAAAAAATATTTAACCTAGTCCCCGTTCTATCTAGCTTAGTCTGTTACCCATTTTTGGCTGAAAAGGCGCGTGCGGAAATATTTTGGTTCGCAGAGCCGTCCCCAATGCTGTGCCCGAGTATCGGCATCAGGACTGAACGCCCTTGTCGAATTCAGTTGGAGCCCCGTACTTGTACAGGTATCGTCTGTACCTATACTAGAGTACTTTGGAGCACTGACTCTATCTGTCTACGGTAGGGCCTAGTGCCATTGCAGGAACATCTAACAATATCACGGACGGACAGACAAGGGAAGGGGAGGGGGACATAGTGGTACCGGTAGGAGGTGGGGAAGCGCTTGCAGTCACCACGAATAGAACATTTGGTTATTTCTCAAACGGTCATATGGAGAAAAGGCGGTCTTTTGTTTGTTTGTATGTGCCAGCACTGGCACAATACCATACGAATATAGAGAGTTAAGTGTAGTGAGCAGAAGGACAGTTTTGAAGAAAGGGAATGTAAACTTTATGATATTCAGGAAAGGTAAAATTGCTTTTGTGACAGCCTCCCCCCTTTTACTCCCCTATGGGTAGGTATTTCATTCGATTTGACTCGATGTTTTATTTTCTTCTTTGGTGGAGCACAGTATCGTGGCTCCGCACCAGTTGGTTCCTTGTCCACAACCTCGCCGCCATTCGCTTACAACTGCATCTCCATTAACGCGAGTAAGGCGGGCAGCAGGGCGATGGATTACCGGTATCCTTATTTGGAACACGCAGTTCCTGCTGTCACTTTCCCTTTCCCTGAGCTGTGCTCAATGCTCGCTCGGGTTTCCGTGGAGGGCGAGATAAGAGCTCCATAGCAAACAGTGCCCCAAAATCAAAGTGTTGAGCACACCGGGTAGCAATGCTTCCTTTGTATCGGCGGTCAAATGTGGTAATATGTGGTTTATGTTCAGTACCCATACCGGTACAGTGGTTTACCGTACTGCTTGATTCCGCTCTGCTAGCTGCTATCGAAAATGCCCATGCAACGCTTCAATTTGTATTGTACGTGTGCAGCAGCAGAGGCGAGCTTCCTTCCTTCCTGATAGTACGGTGCATATTCTTTTGCCTTCTTTCCATCTCCTCCCTCATTTCCTTGTTTCGAGGATGCACAGCTGTTTGTACGGGAGGGAGGGGAGAATGGGAAGATAATGGAGGGGTTTTTTTTCTTCGCAGTGATTCGTTTCGTTCGAGTAGCTTTCCTCTTTTCGACCCTCTTCCCCGTTGCTCATTGTGAGCTAATGCATCGAGTCAAACATCCCCCCTTTCATGACTGGCTCCGCCCACGGGTATTGTACTAATACCGGTACTAGTACCGGTACAGTACAGTACAGTACTCGACCTTTTTAAAAGTCTCCGGAATGGGAGGGAAAGGAATAAGTGATTCACTTACGGTACAATTGATATACCTCCACAGCCCCAGATTTCACAAGGACTATCCTTGGGCCAGCAGATACGTAACTCACGTCCCTGCGACTTTAGAAAGCGTCGAGCACAAGTACCGCTATGTATAGCTGGGGAAATTTTGCTAAATGCGAACCCTCGCATTATCGTGACAGGTGGTGTTGGCAGAGGGGGGGAAAAAGTAAGAGAATTGAGGAAGGCAAAAAAAAAAAAAGGAAATTGACTAAACTTCCATTTTGGGGCACAAGGGGGACGGATTCCGTTATTTTTGTTTTTATCGCCATTGCTTGTTACTCTCAACTAGCGCTCACAAGCACCACACTCAACTCACCACTCGCTCACACTCACACATTGTCACACAGACTCACACACGCACCTTTTTTTAAACCTCTCTGTGTTCTGTCGGCTAGAGGTGAGGAAAATGGGAGTTACCTAGTCCGTCTTCTATCCGCTTAGCCCTCACACACACCCCCTCCGACCCCGTCGTCATCGTTTGCTGGCATGCTAGCAGGCAGGCTCTGGCAGCCTGCGCCCACTACCACCCTTACCACCACCACTCCGTACCCTCAGGTCGGTTCCCACCCCCCCACCCCAAGATGCAACTACTGTAGCTTGTGTCCCTTGATCGGGGAAGGGGTGGGAGACATGTTTGTCATCTGGCTCAGGGCTCGGGCAGGACTTGGATGGCAATGATGGTGGTGGTACTCGAGTACTCGAGTCTGGTCGGTGATGGTTGGGAGCTGCTTGCTGCTAACGATGCTGAGCCAGTCTAGCTGGTAACGTCCATGTCTGCCTGGTGCTCCGCATACCGGTACCCCCCATACGCCCATTCCTCCAGATCCCCAAAGCTCGTCGTACACACAGACAGATATACAGAACAGCGAACGGTAGCCAGGCCCTCCCAGACCCCCGACACACGCATCCAGCCAGAAAGTCGCCCACCACAGCAACGATGGGACCAATACTGGCTTGTCCCCCAGAATAATATTTATCATGGCCGAGTCGCTCCGGCTGTCTGCAGCCGCGTCGCCGCGTCCTCACCCTCTCTCTCATTTTCTCCAACTAGTTTAACCACTTTGCTGTGTACGGGTACAAGAAATTGTTATTCACTTTACTCTACCGTGATCCTTATTTGCTCCCCTTCACAGGCAGTCAGTCGCTTTTTGACTCTGGATTTATTTTATTATTATTATTACTACCATTATTATTATTATTATCGTTATTATTGTTATTATTGTTTTTATTATTTTTCTATTTATCATTTCCTTCCCAGGACGCCCGCCTCCGCCGCAGCACCTTACCTGAAAGAGGAGCATCCCTCATCCTGGCAACCTTCCTCTATCCTTCCCTACTGTAGCTGCTTTTTACTGGGAGTGCCTCCCTGCCTCCCTGCCTGCCTGCTTGTGCTGCTTTGCTCCCTTTTCCTTCACTTACACACCACACACTCATCCATAACCCCCCCCCGTCACACACCTAACACACCTTTACACCCCACCACCCATCCGCTGCCCAGCGACCATTTGGCTGCAAAAGAGGGCTCAGCTTTAGCCTCCGCCATCAAAGGGCGAACATACCCTCGGCCTCCTATAAACATTCACCTTAACCCCCCCCTCCATTTCCTATCCCCCGGTGAGGTCCACCCAAAGTGATCTTCCTGGAGCAACATCATTTCGACATCATTCATCTTTATATCTCCTGCTCGTTCCTCGAAGCCCACACTGGATTAATTCCTAGCCTTTCTGGATTACCTTAGCAAACTTCCACTCTCTCTGGCTTTTCTCGCTTGTTGCCTGTACTGGACTGCAAATTGATAAAAGGCTCCCGCTATACCTTTGCTTATCTATACTGGATCTGCCGGAGCTGTTTCCCCTCTCCTTTCATTGTTTAAAGAAAAGTCCAGGGCTCCGAGTCCAATTTCTAGGAAAATGAGCAACACTTCTTCAAACTCAAGTTCGACCTCTTGCGCCAGGCCTGAGGACCGAATAGGACAATTACTTGCTGGGCGTCTAGAGCTCACGGGAATCCTTGGTGTTGGTGCTTATGGGGTTGTTTATACCGCTGTCGATATCTTCTCCTGCACTCCATTTGCCGTGAAGGCCCTGTCAAAGATTGGATTGGATGCCCGCCAGAAGCGATTTCAGCAAAGAGAGATTGCTCTCCACCACAAGGCTAGCGCTCACCCGGGCGTAGTCTCTCTAGTGAAGATACTCGACACTGCCGATTGTACTTTTGTCATCATCGAATACTGCCCTGAAGGTGACCTTTTTACCAACATCACTGAGCGTGGACAATATGTGGGTAATGATCTTTCGGCCAAAAGGGTTTTCCTTCAGCTTTTGGATGCCGTGGAGTACTGCCATAATCTTGGGATTTACCATCGGGATCTGAAGCCGGAGAATGTATTGGTTTCCAACGGCGGCCTCCAGGTCAAGTTGGCGGATTTTGGACTTGCTACTACCGAAACTGTCACCTCGGACTTTGGCTGTGGGTCGACATTCTATATGTCACCTGGTAAGATTACAGATTTCTTTTGTTTTTATATTTTTATTTTTAATACTTTTAGCGCCCTTTTCAAGCTAATCAAATTCTAGAGTGTCAACAATCTTCTCCACGCAATGTTACCTGCTATGCTTCCGCTCCTAATGATGTCTGGTCCTTGGGCGTGATCCTGGTAAACCTTACTTGTGGCCGGAACCCTTGGAAAAGGGCCTCCCCTTCAGATAGTACATTCCGTGCCTACTTGAAGGACCCACGAATGCTTAGGACCATTCTGCCTTTGTCCCAGGAGCTTGATTCTATTCTTCGAATGATCTTTGAGTGCAATCCCCAGAAGAGGATTACTATCCCGGAGTTGCGATTCCGTATCATGTCTTGCCGCAGGTTTACCACTGGACCCAGCCCTATGGATAGCCCACCTCTTTCCGATGTTTCTGATAGCTCTGATCTTGTCGAGCCTGATGTTTTCAATCTTGCTTCAACACCCTACCATTCCCAGACTCCAGGCGTTTTCACCCCCGATTCAACGCCATCCACCACACCTCAAACAACCCAAGCCTCTCGTCAGAATCCATACATATTCTCGAAACACCTCGCAAACCCTCCATCTGAATCATCATCCGAATCGCAGTACTACGCGTCTAATGCACCATCGGGAAATGCTAGCCCCATCATTGCACCCGTCACCCCATCAGATTTCCCACCACCACCCGGCCAGAAGTTGTGGCAGTTGCCAATTTTCCCGTCGATAGATGACGTGGAAAGGGTGCAATCGCCTGCTCTCCCAGTTTCGAAGGGTGTTCAGGTCTTCTAGGTGTGTACCAGGCAGGCCAGACGGATTTAATCCTCCGCCAATACTGCCGCAAGAACAGTCACCGGAGTGGATACTACCGTGAGGCGCAGAGACCGGAGCAAAACCACAATTCTTATTCCTTTTGCCTGGGTTGGCAGGCCTTTTTCTTCTTCCCTTTCCTCGCGACGCGCGATGATTTCATTTGCATATTGATACACTTTCTTGGGTTTGGGCTTTTTCATGGGTGTGGGAATGGGTTCTTTTGAAATTGGTTTCTTACTGTTTTTTTCCTTTTCATTATCACTTTATGGACAGCGCCGGGGGGGGGCAATAAGGAGTTTTACTGGTTTTCCTTCATCTTTTATTATGTCTTTTCTACTTTTGTTGTTTTCATTCCTTTCCCTCCCTTCTCATGCATACTCTCTCCAGATCGTGCGCTGGGTATTCCTACTAGCGCATGTGATGGATCGGACAGGTTGGTAATTTTTTTCACCGTTCGAACACCTTTTTCTTTTGTCTGTATGTATTTATGTAAGTATCGATGGAGCTATAGGGGTGTCCGCCGGAGCCGGATGGGTGGCTTTTTCTTTCTTATTTTCTCCCTTCAATCGTGTTTACATTTCTTTCGTCATTGGGTTGGGGCTTTTTCCTTTTTCATTCAAACGGGTTTCTACGGCGTTTTGCATATAAAGCATGTCTCTTTTTTTTTTCTTTTCCATATTTTTTATTTTCGCGTTTCCCCCGCCAAAACAACATCTATTCGATATCTTGCCTCTTTTTTCACCCTTTACTTTTTTCGGTTGGCCGGTCGGATCTTTTTCATGAGGAAGAAGGAAAAGGAAAAAATGGGAAGGGGGAAAGGGAAAGAGAGATTGAAAGAAAGAGATGTGATGGATGGACGGAAGGGGAAGGGAGGGCGGAGAAATCATGGAAGTGTTCCTTTTTCTCTCGTCGGGTAATGAATGAGACATTCGTCAGTCTGTCAGTCTGCGGTGTGGTGTGAGGGAAGAATTGGGGGGAAAAAGGGTCCTGTATTTAAATATTTGCATCATCATCGCCGTCATCATAACTAGAGGTCATCTTTTTTACATTTACCTTAATAATTATGATACTGATAGTAATTATTATCATTATTTGATTGTTCACTTTCTGTGTAAATATTATTATTTATTATTTATTATTATTATTTTTTTGTTTTCTGACTTTGTTTCGTTCGGGAGGGGGGAGTCTTTATTTTATTTTTATTTCAAAAGATGGTTTCGGGATAAGGTTGGGTTGGGTTGAGCTTTGACATGATTTGGGCATCTACGATGGTGATAGTATGAATTTATCTACTCGAGTACAGTCCCAATCTACGGTTATCAATGTGCGGTGTTTTTTCGTGCAGCATGAGTGTTTTGGTTAGAGAGAGGGAGGGAGGGAGGGAGGGAGGGAGAGGGAGTGCACAGCATGATATGAAAATATGCACAGTATGCACCCGTCCACGAAACGAAACGAAACGAAACGGCCCTCCCCATCCCTTCCACCGCAGCCCGGTGATATTCACGGTGCTCGTGGTGGTGCTTCCCTTGCTTGCTGGTGGTAGTGGCGGCGGCCTGCCCGTCGTCGTCGCCTTCGCGATATCACTTTCACTCTGTTTACTTACTTTACCTCTTCTTCTCCCCCCATCCCCGCGAATAATACCTGCCAACTACCGGGACCCGAGCTAAAGCAGCATTCATCCATATCTTCTTGTTCGAAGCCGAGGGAGAGAGCAAAGTCGACGTGGCGATCATATGGTTTTTCTTTTCTTCTTTCTTCTTCTTCATTTATGATAGCCCTTTTTTTTTTCCCCACCTTCCCGTTCCACTTACTTGTGAGCGTACCGTTACCGTACGTCGTTTCTGATTTCGTGATTGTTTCAGTTTCATATCGTCGCTCGGGTGGTAGAGAGGGCTGGCTGGCTGGCATCATTAATTATGATATTGCAGAGCTGGAAATCAGAAACCTGTATTATGATACCTCTCTCTCTCTCTATGCTCGGTGATGATGATGATGATGATGATGATACTCGTACCGGTAACTTTCCCCCCCTTCTCACCAAGACAAAAAAAAAAAGGGAAAACTACCGAAGAACTCTTTCTCCAATCACATCACCCTCCCGCCGCCGCCAGCCCCAACCTACCTTGTGATTTTCGCTACTTTTCGAGGCGTTTTTTTGTCGTCAGCAGCCGTGCAGGGTGGACTTTGCAAGGCGGCCAATTAGGTTCCCTCTCTGCCCTCTCCATCCTTCTTCTTCTGATCCTTCCATCCTCGAGGTATGTTTCCAAGTGTTTATTTATTTATTTCACTTTTTTTTCTTTTCTTACCCTTTGATGGATGGATGGGTGGGTGGGTGGTGGTGGATGGATGGCTCACTTACCGGGTTTTTGCCGGTTGTCATGGGTATCTACTCGTAGGATGTGATATGTTCTTCCTGTAAGGTATTCCACCCCTCTCTCCTCGAGTATTATTATTGATAGAGGAGAACTGACTCATGGGGAATTTATTACTTGTATTATCATCAGGGTGGGGCATTATTGTGGACAATTCGCTCCAGCCAGTTACGGTAACCCGCACGTTGCCGTTACCGTACCGTTGCTACAGTAGCGTAGGGTACCGTATGAGTACAAGCCCAACTTGTACCTTCCGTGTCCAGACAGAAAGCGATATCAATCAGACGTGCGTGCAGGCATGCATATGATAAACTCGTGCTGAGATTGCAAAAAACAATGAGCTAGAAAGGACAAAAACAAAACAGAACAAAGAGACAAAACAAAACATGGAAAAGAGGGATTCGTGACAGTACGAGTACCAGCCCAGCCCTCCTCCATACAGGCTAAATAAGCCTTTCCAAAATACCTGTGCAAGCGCGGCTACGGCCATTCATTCATCCAGCCTCAACTCTCACTCACACTCACCCGCTACTACAGTACCAATCATAGCTAAAGGTGGTGGGAGTACCGTGCAATACGGTAGCTGGCAAGCAGGCAGAATAGAACGGTTGCCTGGAGTCCAACCCTCCCCGACCAAAGCAGAGAAAGCGGGGAGAGAAGCAAAGGGGAAAAATGAACCGGGGTAAATGATCACCTATTATATTTATTCATCCCCCGGGGGTGGTGTGTCGCCAGACGCGGGGAAGATCGAAGGAGGAATGAATGAATGAATGAATGAGAGGGATCTGTATGTACGAGTTCTCGTTCAGTAGCCACTTCGCATATGGCTTTTTTTTTTTTTTTTTTTTTTTTTTTAATATGTCTCGAACGAATCGTTGGGCCACGAGGCGGGGTATTATTTTTTGTTTTTTGTTTTTTTTTGTTGCGTGCTTTGGATGGTGAGGCGGACGGACTGTCTGCCCTGTTGGTTATCTTTTTATGGTAAAGATGTCGTATGGGGTATTGCTTGCTGGTTGCAGTGATGTGGATGCCGTGGTGATGGTTTTAGGTGTTTTACGCTTCGTTTCATTCACCTCACCTTGGTTTTTTGCCTTCCTTCCGTCCCTCCGGTGCTTGGACTGCCGCATGTAGTGGGTGATTGTTCATGAATGAAAACTGTGGTATCATACTGTATTGTAGGATTTACTCTGCCCCCCCCAATAGCTGGCCTGTCGGAAAAGTCGCAAGTATGATACCGGTACGGTAGAGTTCCGTCGTGTTTTGGCTTTTGGCCAAAGTGGGAGTATTAAGTACCCCCCCTCCCCCCTCCGGTAGGTGGGTAGGTAGGTAGGTAGGTAGGGTATATTGCTTAGGCGACAGTATAGGAAGGAATCCTTCCCAGCACCGGTCGGCAGTCTACCGCTACCGCTTTCTGGCATAACGAGAACTGGTCTTTCATCACTCTCATTAGTTAGGTGATGGTGCAACGGATCCCGTACCGGTTACTGTATTTTCCAGGCATCTATCATACTTGTATCATACCCCATCGCAGATACAAGCACGAAGTAACCGGTACAAGTACTAGTACAGCCGTCTTTAGGGTTATACAAGATTTCAAAGGCCCTGCCTACCCACCTACCGTATCATACCTACCTGCCTGGGGGCTGTTCGCATCCCGTACATATACTCGAGTACTCGTATGTACTTGCATGTATGTATTTATGATATCAGCTGGTGGGTTTCAGCGCTTTCTTTCTCTCCTTTCCCCCTGCCCATTCATTTTTTTTTCTTTTTCTTTTGCGCCTACCGACTTGCTGTGCTGTGCTGTGCTGTGCTGGTCTGTGTCGCGCTACTCGAGTACTACGGTACTATGATACAATAAACCGGTTATTTGTTTTACGGATGTTATGATATGTGAGTACTGTACCCCGGTTGAAAAAAAAGATGTGGAGATTAACCGACTGTATCACAGGGAAGTGTTTGTGCGAGTGCTTGATTTCTTGCTTGCTTGCTTGCACGGAACCGCAGTTCGGCGCTGGGTTGCTGGATTGAGAGAGAGGGAAGGAAAGAAAAACATATGATACCGGCATCATATCATCATACTAAGACGGGGAAGGTGGACAACTTGATGCTCATCGCATTAAGAGCAAGGATGGCAAAGAGCCCCTCCATTCTACAGCGCCATCCATCCATCCATCCATAACCGTGGATGGAATACCTACCATTACCGACTGATGATGGCATAGCCTATCTAAGGTATCTGCTATCTACCTGTCCCTGCGCCTGGTCCCTCCTCTCACATACCTCTTGTATGGCTACTGTACTGTACCTGGATTCCATCCCCTGCATCGGTCATCGCGCAAAAGCCATACCAATGATCGACAACGTCGGAAAGGGGAGAGGAGAAAAACAAACCAACTAATTAACTTATGATACCCTTGCCATGAGATGAACTTCACCCTTGTTTCTCCCCAGGGCGGGGAGGTCCACCGTAGCCAACATTATGCGACATTGGTACAATACAGCTACAGTACATACATGTACGAGTACAGTACAGTACGCACGCTGTGCTTACTGTCAGGTTAGACTATCGCAGACCGAACCGAACCCTTGTATCATAATTGCGCAACGACTTTCCCATTACCATTACCATTCCTCCCCCTTACCCTTCCCCGCATGAGATTGTCTTGGTGCTTTCCTCTGTTTTTTTTTTTTTTTTTGCACTCGAGTACTTGTATACTCGTATACTCGTATACCTTGCTTGTGCGGTTGTGGTGGTGGTGGTTTCCAGGGAGCGGTGCATTCCGGTGGTTGGATGTTTGACATGGTGTTGATGCTTGTATGGGATGTGTGAGACTGTGGAGTAGTTTTTTTTCTTTTTTTTCTTTCCATGCTCTTCTTGTTTTTACCTCACGCTCGTAGTCTACTCGTGATGGGTGTGTATTGTGAAGAAATAACTTTTTACAGAACTAGCGTATACTGTATATACAGATGAATCGATTGCGAAGAAGATGGAGCGGTCATGATGATGTTTGTACTGCACTCAGTATAACATACAGCAGACCACGGATCCGAACTCTGCCTGCGTTTCCCACTTCACACGACTCGACTTTCAATTGCACAACCGGTTTCCGATATCCCTTCCTTCATTCCTTCCTTCCTCTTTCACCGCCGGTTCTACAATACAATACAATAATAGTTTACCTTCAGCCTTCCCATCTCACGTCGGACTACTCTCCGCACCGTAGTAAGATACAATACCCTTCCAAGACCGGAGTGAAAGTAGAAGAAGCAATCATGAACGCCCCCTCCCCCTTTCCCCATCTCGCTAATGGAACGGCACTGTATCATACCGTTACCAACTTTTTTTCCCTTCTTCCCCATACTGTACAGTACCAATACTCATAACCCGAGAATTCCGTGACACCTACCGTACTTGCCGTCGCCACTCACTCACTCTTTCGCCCGGTCGGTACGCTCCGGTATGATGATGGAACAGTTCAATTGCATGCACATCACGCGATATCACTCGTGCGTGAGAGAGAGAGAGAGAGTGTGTGTGTGTGTGTGGGAGGGGAGGGGGGCGAGTAACGGTAACAGCCCTTTTTTATCATACCGCTTGCCGCGAGTAGAGAGAGACTCCTCTAAAGTATATCATACCGTTGGAGCTCCTCCTCCGCGTGATGGCGATATACGTATTCGTGATT